GGCATCCCCTGCCACACATTGCAAGCTTCAGCAACACCTCATTTTCATTTCTCTCTTTTCCCCTTTCTTTCCCTTCTTGAGCTATTTGCGACCATGTCAGGCGCAAATAGGAAATATGAGTTGCGACACATTTTTAACCGCCATGCTGTGCACAGTTGAGCGATTCACATATGGGAAAACGGCAATCAAGTGAAAAAAGAATGTCGATTCAGAATAAAAAAGGCGCATCATCCTAATGTGCATCGCTTTTCATCAGAGAGGGCCCAAACACACTCGTTTTGGATAAGAAACTCGTCATTTTTATTTAAACTCACCTGAAACGTCCCACCAGAAACATCGATGACCGGAAAATAATTTAATTTGTTAACCAAAGTATGGCTGACCTTTTGACGATGTTTTTACCCCGTTTTCTCCTGCCAGTTTTTCTGTAGGGAGGTAGGTCGCAAATCGGAAAGGGTCGCTAATTAGGCACCTTACCCTACCAATCTCTGCGTCTCGTAACGGCGCACACGCTCGTTTTTTCCGCGACGCGCTAGCTCCACCAGGGGCGAAACGGCGAGGGGGGGGGGTCGTACCCGCCCCCCCCCCCCTCGGCCGGCGCGTATGTAGAAAACCAATAGGTCCGGCGAGGGTTAATGGCAAAGGTTCGGAACGATGATATCTCTAGAAAACAATTTCATTTGAAGATCTATCAAAAGGATGTCATTCTTAAATAGATTAGCCATGCATGTGTCTTGAAAATGGTTAGGTAACACAAGCCGCGCCGGTCAGATTTGGAATCAATCATGAATCAGCAATCATTTTGGTTTACGAAATGCCGTTTTGGCCTCCCCTGTCCATATTTTTGCCTTATTCGGGCAAAAATTGGTCCCCCTAGTCCTGCCTTTTACTGTCAGCAGAGTTTGCTGTTTTTATTACTTCTTTGACATAAACAAAAAAAAAGCGCGTTTTGGTGATCAATCTCAGTCCATTTATCTCTAGCTGGGCTCCGAAGCCACTAGCCAGTATCGTAGTTATCTACAGTTCTACCCTTGATCTGACCTTGACCTAACCTGTGCCCGCCCCTACTGTATAGGCAAAGAAAATTGTACTTAACGACCAACCGTTAAATTTTACGCTGTACAACCAACCGTTTGGAAGTTACGACGGTGTGGGAGGGGGGGGGGTGAATCTACCCCCCTCCCCAGCGAGGCGCGTTCGGCTGAATAGCCCAGCGGGACGAGAGATATTCAGTATGGCTAATATGTAAGAATGACGCAAAACAAGCAATCGGACCCTAAGAGCCTTGATATTGGGATAACGTTTTTTTTTTATTAAATAAGTATTTGTATGGACGAACTGAACAGTGTTTGCCGCGAAGCGCCGTCTCCTAGCTACCATCCTATTGCGCAATGTTGGATAACGGAAGGAACCCAAAGTTTGGCGGTGCCCATTAAAGTCGGACGTGTGAAGTCCGCCCCAACTGAAATATGTGTACGTATACTGCATTGCGAAACTGGTTGTGAATGTCCCCTATACTCGTAGTTAGGTCGGGACTTATAATGTGAAACAAAAGTAGCTCTACCGGCCTATAACAGAAAAGCGTCAATTCTGAAACCATATAATTTGTGCGTGTGTGTCGTCATTTCGCCCCTCTGCTTCCCGGAAATGCGTGCGAACTCGCGCCGTGTGCTTCCCAAGACTCGATATCCTCGGGGGTCGATGTGCGTCGTGCTTCAGAGAGATGACCTTCAGGGTCACACAGAAAGCTGCAGCCCGGGACAGGGCAATGGCCTGACATCTCTGTGTAACGGGGGAGAGTGGTCGCGGGATACGGATGGGGCACACGGGACACACGGTGGGACAGGGAGTGGAAACCAGTGGGACAGGGAGCTTAGGACACAGTGAGACAGTGGAACCAATGGGATAATGACGGAAAAGGGAAGGTACACATGGTTACAGGACAATTTGCCGAACTGCGTTTTGCCGAATGCTTATTCGCCGAATGTCAATATGTCGAATGCATTTTGCCGACGTGTCTTTTTGCCGACGTGTCAAAAAGACGAAGTGCTAAAAGTCGAAATGCAATTTGCCGACATGCCTTTTTGCCGACGTGCAATAAGTCGAAAATGTCAATTTGCCGAAATGCTAATAGCTAGCCTGCGGCTGGCTGGAGACTTTAACCCTCGCCCATCATGTAGGGGGTTGGGGGTTGGTGCACCCCCCCCCCCCCCCCCTGAGGTTTTCTATGCACGCCGAACTGTTTCAGATAGCCTGCTCAAATTTTCAGTACCCTCTGGGGCATCCTTTGCGCAACTTTTGGTATTTTTTTTGTCAAGGTCATGTCAGGTCATGGAGTTATGACGTCATAAAGGGAACAACCTCCGGCCAGATTTACACTAACTTGGAGATTGCTTCACATTGGTATAAATGCCGACTGACCTGACACACTGATGGGTTGTTTTAGAATCACAACTGGCTGATTTGACATTGGCACAATGTCCGTTGACATTTTGAAGGTTACTTAAGATCAAGGTAAGGTCAGTGACCTCGGTTGACCTGTGATGACTTCTTGCACTTGTATGCCTTTTCGGGGTATTTTGATGCCCTGAATTCGAATTTACTACTATCCATTTCAGGCATCGTCGGTTGTTTCTTGTAGTTCATTTTGGGTCAGGGTCAGGTCAGTGACATCACACGCCTGACGTGACCCAATGCTACAATGACCTTGCGGACTTCCGATTCTCCCAACGCATCATTTTTAGAGTTATGACATCGAAATACACACCAAACGATAGGGAATTGATCAAGGATCACGATAGTGAAGGTTTCAAGTCGATATCTCTTACCGTTTTGCCACAATCGGCGCGGAAATCTGAAAAAGTTAGATTTTTTCCGAAAATTTGACCTTTGACCGGTCATAAGTAGGTCAAATGTTGACCTAGGACCAAAAAATATACCACCAATCGCGAGATCTCGTTGAGAGAAACCCGTTGGTCTTTTCCGCTAAGCTCTACGACGCTCCGTTTTCAAACGCCAGGGGGGTCGCACCAACCCCCCCCCCCCTGCATGGGCGAAGGTGGCAAAACACCGTTTACGGGCGAGGGTTAATGGGTCAATGGAAGATACCACAGATTTGGACTGTAATATCTATCATAATATTTGGTTACATTTGTGGGCAAATATTTGGTTACTTTTCAAGTATAGGATTTCGGAGTAGAGTCAGAGTCAGAGTCGCTCGAAGACGAGAAATAACCCAGGAATCGGAGTTGGAGTCGGAATGTCAGGGTCGAAAAGCTTTCTCGACTCCGGCTCTGTACCTACTACTTTTGAAAATTTCAGTTACATACCTATCACTTGTTTATTCGACTGAGAATTAGCATGCACTTCTCTGAAAGTTACCAATAGAAACCATCCATAGTAATCAATAGCAATAAAAGCATCCGTATTGGCCTTTTTACAGCATTTAACGTATAAGGGGGAAAGGGGCGTTTGGACCATGCAGCCGTTTGGCTCCTGGATCGAGCTTGAGCTTCGAGTAAAAAAAAAAAAAACGTTATCGTCCGTGAAAAGAGGAAACCGAAACCGTTTGACTGCCCCTTTTCCTAGATGTGCGAGGTGTATTTATAGGTTGATAAGAACTGGGCTGCAGCCTGCAATACAAACTTTTCCTAAATAGGTACTTTATTTATAGACCAATAATAACTATGGACTCGGCTGGGCCGGTGCGCGTTAGCCGTGCGTGTTGGGTACGTGAGGTGCGTGGGAGCGGCGGCGGGGCGACGTCCTCTGTGACCGGCGCACCGTGGGGACTTATGCCATCCTAGCACGCATTAAGTGGCAAGTTAAAGTATTTCGATTTCCACTTTTTTGCTATTCATTCCACGTAGAATTGTCCAGCGCATCCGAATCACACCTTAAATCGTCTGTAAAATGATTGTTTATGCCTAAAAAAAACTCTCAAAGTGTAGCTTCGTCCTGACCAGCGTCGTGCTACCTGCATACAGCGAAAAAGCACACTACAATAAAACGCCCTCTCACTCGTTTCCCTGAACAGCAAGTTATAGTTGCGACATGTTTTCATTATCTTTGACTTATAAGGAAGATGATGGTATGCACGAAAATTTCCAAAATTCATCCAAATGTATAATTTTTGACCGAAATGCTAAAAATGTTAAAATGCTTCTTGATTCATAGAGTTGACAAGCAAACTATTGCCTTACAAAGTTTGATACGCGGTGTTACGCGTGGAAATGTATATCAAAATGTTCTCCAATAATTTCTGCATCGGGGGCAGCTCTCATTTTTTGCCGAAATTTGCCTAAACCAGTCACTATGAGACGTCAAAGCAGACGGTGCCGCGTGGTTTCTTACGCCGCGCCGGGCCGCGCCGCGGCGGGTTACCCGACCGCAGCACACCGCCTGGGGGTTTCCGGTCAGTATAGGAGTTGGGAGGAGGGAGGAAGGGGGTGATACCATGTTGACATTATTTTTCTATCGCTAAATGTTATTTTTGAACAAAACAACAACACCCTTGCAACGCTGCGTCCATTTTATTGGCTATCGCCGCCAATGTTCACCTTATTGAACTTCAGTACAGAGCTTTGATATAGGTAAATCGAAAACTGCTGTAACTTTGTAAAGTGAGGTTGGAGGTTTTTGGGGTGCTAATCACGAATTTCAAGCTAGTTTTGATCAAGGATGATGTTTTCATGCTAGGCCGGGTCAGGTCAGGCCCGACCAGTAGGTGTCTTGCCGGCTATCCATAGAAGGTAGGCGTCGATTACCTTTGACGGCTTCGTAGCATGTTCCGTTAGGCACCAAAACTACTTAAATCTTCAAATGGGTGTTAAGTTCGAAATAAGCTCCAAGCACTTATCTAGAAAAATCGTATAACTTGAAAAGGTCAACTAAGGTCATCTAAGGTAAATGACCTTGATTTGACCTTAACGTGATCTTAAAATGCAAAGAACAAACAGCATTTCATACCTTGGAGAGTTAACAACCACAACAAGACTGAAAACGCGCCGATAATGTGCGCTGATAAGCGCCAAATCGATAACAGCCTGACATGGTCTGGTGAAACAGGTCACAGGTCAAATTTTTATTAAGGTCAAGGTCATGATATTTTAAGTGTGTGAGTAACATTGATCGATTCGAAGGTATAGAAAGTTTCGTCGTGATCCTCCACGTTTTGCTTGAGTTAGTATGCGAAAAGTCGAGGACAGAAGTCTGTGCGACCCCCTCCCCCTTTAAGTGCAAGGACTAACAAAGTGCAAAGGTTAAGCCTGAAATGCCTTTTTGGTGATTGGGCTAGACATGAACAAATATCTACTTCTAAAACGATTGTAGTTTCGTTCTACTTTTTTAACGCTTCCACGCCCACGATGCATTGCTAGCCGAAAACGCTTCAGTGCTAAGTCCGTGGGGAGGGGGCGGGGGAGGGATGGGGTCAAGCAGGAGAGTCAACCATGTTGTCAGGGATCATACACCCTAAGCCTAACCATTTAAAGGTGAAATAAAATTAGTTAAGGTAGCGGAGGATGCGATATAAATAAATTCGTGCTAGGATCGATAAAAACCCCACAGTGCGGCGGGGCGCTGACACACGGTGCGTCCCTGTCCGATGACCTGCCGGTCAGGCCGGGCCGGGTCCCTGTCGAGCGGAGGGCGGTCCCCGCCGCGGGCCGTCGCCGAGACAGAGGGTGGCCACCGTAACGGAGGCGTATATAAATACAGTAGGCGACGCAGGAGGGGACACAACAGACCAGGACACGCGAACAACATGGCTCGAGGTGCTCGGGTAAGTCCATCGACCTATAGCAGCTGCCAGCTGATTTATGCTCCCTTTTTTCAATTTTCACCATCCAAATGTGAACAGCCGTTCCTTTTTCGTGTGCTTGTGCCTTGTTTCAATATATGTAAAAGTTCGTCTCAATAGGTAACGATGTTTCGAAATTGCTTTCATGGTAGACTAGACTAGAATTTATACCGGGTAACCGGACCTACCTGACCTACCGCTTTGAGTGATGTCCCTGGTGATTTGGGTTGTTTATATCGCCATGCTCTGCTCTGATGCTTTATTTGTGTGCACCGTTAACACAGTCTAGTGTGTTTAACACACAGTAACACCATACGTTGGTGTTCGTTTCAGGCTCTGCTTGCTGTGACGCTGCTCGCGGTGACGGTCGCCGCAGACAAGGGCGCCGCCGTGCACCATCATCCGTACGGCTACCGTCCGATCAGCTACGACTACAAACCCTTCAGCTACAGCTACGGCGTGCACGAGCCGTACCGACAGAACACGAACGTCCACCACTACCAGCACGGTCTCGGCTACGGCTACCCCTACGGCTACGGCCACCGTTACGGCCACCCGTACAACTACGGCCTCGGGTACGGATACGGTTACGGTCTACCAGCGTACAGCCATGTGAAGTACTCTGGTTACCCGACGGGCTACGCTCTACAAGTGGCTCACTCGAAAGTGCATCCCAACAAGTATGCCAACAGTCACGCATATGCTCACAAGCCTGCCGAGTTTGGCTATAGCTCGACGGTAGTGCACCCTGCCGGCGCGGTGGTGGCGGTGCTGCGCCCTGTAGGCGGATACGGAAAGCTAAAAGTGCTGCACGGCAAAGCTGCTGAAGAGAAGCCTGGGAAGACTGAGTCGGCTGCTGCGGCAGATGATGAGTCGGCGTCAGGAGAGGGGATGATTGATGAGGACGTGATCGTGTAGTAGACAGCGACCGAGGGACGTGACTGAGACAGCAAGGATGTCACTGCATCGCAAAGCATGCTGGCATAATACTAAACGTGGATGGACACTGTCAGTGAAGTGTGTATCTAGCTCCATTTCACATATATTTTGCCTAGATATGTTCAATAAATTCGTATGGGCATTGTTTTTAAAACAATGTGTTTGCCTGCCATTTCAGCGCGCTCAATCAAGGCCGTATCGCTCAATGGCAGGGACCAGCACATGCAATCCAAGCATAAACAAATAACCGTGCATAGTTGTAGTAGGGATGGATTTTGCATTGTAAGCAACGCAGCAATGCAAACATGGTGTGGCAACGCAACGGCCCCAAAACTTGAACAAAGCAACCCAGTCTGCTCCCAACCCCCAAGATGTCCCGTCCCCTCCCCCTTCTCACAGCACAGTTCTCACGTTCGTTCTCACTTCTCACAGTCTCGCAGGGTAACTTGTCACATCACACTAAAAAGTCCGCTCCTTCGATTAGCTTAAATTAATTTTTTTGACTTCAACTTAATATCTTTATTTGCTTTAAGTTTGACATTTCTTCTCCTACACAAAAAGATTCTTCCTTACTATTCATAAGAAGGAAATGAGCAAAAGAATATATTTTTATGACGTCATTTTATATTTTAAACCATTACAACTGTACTTCTTCATTGTACCTTGGTAAAGTTTACTAAACGCGTTTACACGTCGTCGGCGGCGGCGCAGCTTGGACATCATTATAGGGCGAATTGAAGTGTTTATTTCCTTTTTCTGACATCTTTTCGTGCAACTATTATATCTTCATCGTAAAGGTGAGGTGGGCATGTTTGAAACGCTGTGTCTGGTATATGACCATCAATTGGACACCCTTTCGAATTGAGCGCAGATTTGAGATTTGGTCTGCTGGATTTTGATTTTGATTTGAGAAATGAAAATTTGTTAATTCCAGGGCTGATGGCTCATTTCATGGCATGCTGCTAGATGCTACTAACTTGTTTGTGAGATGATGTTATAGGTTGTGCTGTGGCTTGTGACGATTCTTTTGATGTAATGAGACATTGCTTAAAGGAAAAGGGCCACCTTTAACATGGGGATTGAAACTGAGATAGCCATCTTGTAGCCCGTGTCCGAAAACCTATTTGTCTACCTCCTTACGGGCGATTTCTGCCTCCATTCGTAGTTATCGGCAATTTTAAAAGAAAATACGCCAGGAATGCGTCCTTATCCCAGGAATGCGTTCTTATCCGACAATACAGCCACCCGCGGCGAGGCTTTGGTTTTTTACCAATCAGCTCCAACCAGCTCAGCTTTAACCAATCAGCTTATCTGACACAATCCGACGAGTCTGTCTTCTGAACGCTGATTGGCTTGAGTGTGACGTCATCGCTATGCCATCATACAGTAGGTGCCGTAGAGAGTATCAACATAGCACCAATATGTTGAATAGTTTTAAATACTTTTTCGCGAATTGTGCACTTCTGGCACCAGTTTTAAAAAGAAAATGAAAAATAATAAAGTCAAAATGAAAAACAACGATATCTTCATATTTCACGAAGGTGGCCCTTTTCCTTTAATCTTGTTGCTTATATTATGGCTGCTTGCTAGATCTTAGATCTCTCATTTAGGCACCAATATTTTTATGAAAGCATCAAATTCAAGTTAACTGCTGTACTGAAATGTCAGCTTATATTAGACTGCATCTGAGTTTGTTGCATCCATGGAAACTCAGTTGGGACGCCGGTACAGGGGCCAGGGCACTGGAGGGAATATTAGTATTAGTCATGTGACATTTGGAACTTCTCCCCCTCAATGGGCCAGGGCCCTCTACATGCTAAACGTCACGTGGGAATTTGACGAACCTTGATCAAATCGCCCCAGGCGCCCTGTTTTCACCGTCATCCTTCAATTGGGCAAACTAGGCTTCTGGAATAAAAAAATGGAGGCATCAAATATTGATCCTTCATGACCATTTTGAGCATAAATGTAGACCATTTCTAAATCACCAATCACCTAAAAATAAGCTAGTATTTTAAGAAGGATCATGCCTAATGTTGAACAGAAATGTTCGAACTCTACTACTGAGCACAATAATATTGCTTTAATCATAGTAATCTGACTTCTGAAGGTAAGGAAATGCCATCAATAAATTGATTCACTTTGACAGATAATCAAAATATTGATTCCATGCTCAGCTGGCTAATCATTATTTTGATTCACAGGTAATGTTAACAGATAGGCAAAAATGGCTTGCAAGAATACAGCATTTATCTTGCTATCGTTCACATTTAATGGTATCCTCAGCACC